TTCAAAGATTCCAGGTAACGAACGAACTATGAAGAAATTAAAAAATATTTAAAGCATTCAATGTAGAGATTTTTTCAATTAGAGAAAAATAAATAAAACTTACTCTCATCCAGAACTCATCATATAAAGCACACGCTATTAAACATCTTTCAAATAAGATGATTATCCGATTCTGATCTTTTTGTTCAATTTCAAAGTCTAAATATTCTTTCCAATTTTTTAATTGACATCGTTCTAAAGGTTTAACGTGGAAATATGGCCTCTTAATCTATGAATGGAGATTAAATATTAAGTAATAAATGCTACACTAAATTATATAATATGCATACTTACACCTTCCTCATATGACCATCTTGCAGCAACTGCATTAATATTAGCTTTGTGCATTTTACGTCTACTACTAATGATTTTTTCTCTAATAGCACGGGTCTCCTCATCAGTTGGTGGAAGTTCATGTGGCGGCGGTTCTTCTCCAGGTGGTGCATCATCTGCTGCTGAAGTAGAAGTACTGTCATCCGACTTCAAAAGTGCTTTCACTTCAGCACGCAATGCAAGAAAATCGTCAACATTTAAAATACGATTGGGTAAGTTTGAAGAGACGAACTCTTGAAATGCATCGAAATGTGAAATATAACCAAGTGTTGGAGTACATAATAGGCGATCATATAATGCTGTTACTCTGCTTAGACGTTTGCCCTCCAATTCCCACTTTATATAGCTTTCCCAAAGACGATCAGATCTTAACAAAAAATGAATATTATAAGTATCCAAGTAGGTAAGCATATATATAAAATAGAAACCAATTTGTACCTGAATTCAAGACCACATGCCTCAATAGCTCTTTCGTATTGTTCTCGTAGTTTTTCTTCATCTTTTTCATAGACGGTTTTGCAGTGATTGATGTAATGAAGCCAAAGGTCGACACTGAGCGAAATGGCTTTCAAACCTTGGTCGAATACCTGTAGTAATGGTTTGCAATCACACTTAGAACGATTTACAAATGATTGGGCTGGTGGTGGGTAGACTTATACCTATTTCTTTTTTGTTTTTTGTTTTTTTTAGCTTTCGATAAGCATTACAGTTTTTTAGCAACGTATACTCACATATCATACGCGTACTGTAAATAAAGAGATTTAATTAACACAGAGATTGCAGAGCATTGTGCATTCACCTTAAAGTCAAGGAGTGTTCCGATCTGGGTGCCTCTGTGTCTTCCGCCACTTTTTCTTGCTCCCTCTCTGGCATGTTCACGTCCTAAGTCTTTGTTTCTGACTTTGATTTAACACCCAACCCAATCTTACTTACATTAAGTAAGGTACCGCATCTTATGCTTAAGTTACAATACTTTCTGTAGTAAGCTATGTGTACAAATGCTTACAGTAAATATTACACACAATTTCTTGCACGATAATATCGCAAATTGAAACAACTAGCCTTCGCTTGACTTACGTATCATATGTAGAATATTGATATAACGGTATAAGTAAAACATTAATATACGCAATAATATTGTAGATATCGCAGAATAATTAAGTAACTAGCTATTTGGTAAACGGAGAGAGTCGTATAGGTGCCGCAAGACGTGCTAGGCTGTTGGAAGGGAAAACCATATTTACGTGCGTGCACACTGCCCACGCGTCTTCCTAACTCGAGCTATTTTCATTAGATTGCGTTAATTAAATGATATCATAATGAGAAATAGACCTAATAGATATGGTAAACGAATTGACTCACCCTTTGGACATTTTCGGGGTTGCCTTTCTTCTTCTCGTAATCTGCAAACTTTCTCCAGTAACCGTAGCAATATGGATAACGCTCCAAAAATTTCGCATAAGCCTCACGTGCAGCTTCAGCATCATTCTGTATGATAAACAAGTATTACAGATGATTTTGATATAATTTTGACAATATATATATTTTTTGCTTTTCGAATTACCTCTTGATCGACATACTGAAGAAGATATGTCCATCCCGTGAAATCTGATGGATCTTCATTAACAGCTTTCCAGTATTTTTCTAATTCCGGTAAGGTCTTTTTCTTTGGTGATGCTGGTTTAGTTTCTTGTTTATTGTCTCCTGGATCTGCTTCCGTTGAAAGCGCAACTTTTTTTGCTGGTGTTTCGTCATTATTTTCAGATGTTGGTGAACTAGGATCATACTCTCCTTCTGCATTTAACTTACGTTTATCTGTAAAAGTGAACGTCGCACAAGGTAAAAAGATTTAAGTACAAAATAAAAAAGTTTGTTAAGTAAACATTTTCTTCTTTGCGCTTACTTGTTCCTTCTATTTTATTCTTCTTTTCCAGGGTTTTACTCATTGTCTTTGTTCCACTTTTCTTCTTCTTTTCACTGTCTAATGGCAATTCATCTTCAGAAACTGATTCAGTTTCTCCTAAATCTGCAGGAGCTGCTGCTGGCAATTCTTCATCAGATACTGCTTCTGTTTCAGGTTCCTATATGTTAATGATAAAATATTATATACTGCAGATACACATATGTATATATACAAATAGATACAAAAAAATGTATATTTACTCTTTATCGTTTTGATAATAAAATACCTTTGTTGCAGCTTCAGTAGGCAATTCGTCTTCAGATACAGCTTCTGTATCGGGTTCTGTTTTCTTAATAGCATTCTCAGGTAAACATTCCATATCACCCTCTGTTGTTTCTGTCATCTCCACCATTCCTGTCATATCATAATCAGGCACAGTTTTTTCCGTAATATTTTCTATACTTTCTGATGTTTCTTGTTGACTATCTACCTCCATAACTTCAATTCCAGTACCTTCATTTATAACAGTTTCAGATTCAATTTCCTCTGTTTCTAAGATTTCTGTTACTTGTGTTATTGTTTCCCCATCATCATTCATAACTTCTTGGAAATCTATTAATACACGTTGATTTGTTTCATCATTACTAATATCTTGTCCTTCCATATCCATTTGTTCGCGTTCATTCAACATATCAACTTTATCCATACTACTTTCTTCTATGATCATACAATCTGATACTGTATTAGAATGATCCTAAAGTAAAAATAAAACATAATTCCTCCGAGGTAAAATTCTGGTATATATGACTTAAAAGAACAAAATATTATGTATTATTTACAATTTGAGATGTAGATGTTTCTAAATCAGGTACATTTTCTTGAACTTCTATTTGTACACTCTGATTCATATTAATTTCATGAATAGTAGTATCACTAGAATCTTCCAATTCCAAATGTAACATAGAAGAATCTTCTTCATTATGCTGTTCAATGATAATGTCACCAAATCTTTGCACCCCATTCTCTGGAATGCTTTCCATTACAACTTCTTCTTGTAATACAGGCACCTCCTCCTGAAAAATTGCAATTAGTTACCTCTATTGAATAAAATGTCGATTACATACATTGATGATTGCTAGAACTATCTGCAGTATTATGGAATTTACGCACCTCCACTTCTTCGATCTCTTGCACTTTTTTCGGAGAACGTGTAGCTCTTGCTAGAAGTTTCTTTACAGGAGATTTTTTCGCTACCACAGTAGTTTTACGTGCACGGCTAGATCTCGTACGTCGTACTAAAAAAAATAAAAATATTTAAAAAATGCAAAATTTGAATGAAATATTTACGTTAGATGCGTGTGCGAGACGCCATTCGTTTAATGGCGGTTCGCAAGTCTTTGCTCAGCTGCCGGGTGTATTAATATTTTTGTTTCGTTTTATGTAAATGTATAAAAATATAAATGAATAACAATATTATGTCATGTTGGATACAGTTTCTTTCAGAAATATCATCTTACCGGGTTCATTTAAAGTGATCTCACTTTCATCACCACTTGCGGACGACATTTTGCCTTGATACAATCTCTGGAATGTAAAACGCAGAACTGATGAAGAAAATGGCGGCAGAATACTAAGAGAGGCCCTCTCTCAGAAACTTATGAACTAATATGATACAAATGATAAACTGACAAACCATTTTATCACCAATCAATAATAAATTGTACCGGGAAATATAAGAAAACACGTATGTATATATATGTCGAAGTCAGGTTGGCATTTTGGGGCGTTTACTTACTTTACTTACTTTACTTACCTTTACTTACTTTACCGTCGCGAATGTAGCCGATATTTATCATCCGTTATTTATAATGTGGACACTACCAGAGGCTACGAGTAATGGTAATAGGATGGTCGAGACAGATGAGGTGACAACGAATTCAGGTTCGATAACGAATCCACGGTCCACGGGAGGACTAGTATCAACATGCTACTCGATTCGGGTAACTTCCCGATAACTCAATCGGCAAGTCGTCCAACGACTCACTAACCAACTAACTAACTCTAACTCTAACTCACTTAATCCAAAAGAGGCTGCCCTTATATACTCCTGTCTCCGCCTCTCGGGTTAATCTTTGTTTTAAGGAGAGCCATATAATCATTTCATACCTCTGTCAGATACATGTCCCTCCCGTGACCGTGGCTACGTCCGGTGACCTGCCATGTCACTTCGAGCCCAAACCCATCGTCATAAAGTCAGATTGGAACATTAAGACTATTTCTTATTTTTATTACTTAAGGGCGGCTATAGTAAAAGTCTGGACTAGTGTATTGGAGTTTTTCCAACATTCCGGACGGGAAATCCCGCTGTCTTTCCCTCTCCGACATATATGTACATATTATAAATATTATTTTTTTGTGACTTCATATGTTTAAAAATTAAAAGAATCAAAGAATTCAAAAAAATAATAATTCTTTTAGTGCTACATATTTTTATTGTATATTATGAAAGTTGCATCTTAAAACTACATATATATGCAAATGCATTCATAAATATAAAAAAACCCCATTACCTATTCACTGGGCAAACCTTAAAACTTTTTAAAATGAAATAACAAATGAGTAAAAATAAAATATATATATATATAGAATCAAAGATTGTTTGAGCAGGATTATTAAGGATATACAAATACACGCATGTGCAAGAGAATCCGATAAAGAGCGCAAGTGCATAAAGTAATCTATCTCGTGTGGAATGTAGAACACATATTAAACGAAGTAAATACAGAGGTGCATGTATGTAATACAAGATTCTCTATGTATATATTTTTGTATACACGATTTTGTAAAACAACGTTTGTTGATGTTTGTAAATCCATATTACACGTTGATGTTCCGAGTTAAACGTGAATCAAAACAAGCGATGCTGAAGAAGATCGCGGATCATTCTATTTCGTTCATGATTTACCAATCCCAAACACCACGGAATTCCGAATCTTGTCGTTCTTTTCTTTTATCTCGTTCGCCAAATCGCCAGTGAAAACAATCGTCGTCTTCAATCTGCAACTGTTTCTAGGAAGATTAAGTTGTTGAGCTTCCGAAATGTTTTTTAAGAAGATGATCTAAGACAACTTGAAAATCGTCTTTCATTTTCAACATTTATGCAACATTGGGAATGTCAGAATGTTTAACTCAACCTGTATTTGGCGATAATAAGTGTGTATTTTGTAGCATACGAATATACGAATTCAAAAATTTGCGATAGGAAATGTCTTACAGTGATGGCGGGCGTCCAATTCGGAAGTATGGCACAAAGTCGCCGAAAAAGTTATGCGTGACGAAGAATGAAAATAGTGATAAAACAACAACAACCATTAACTGCAATAATCATCACCATAATCATTACCATCATAATCATCGCTTTCTCGACACCCCTCAGCCGTCAGTACACAAACGTAATCTCTATATTGTTTCTTTTCCTTTGATACTGCTGTTCAATGTTCTGAGGACACTTCTTTATCAGTTATTTGTGGTATTTAAGTACTTATATACATCTACATCTCAGCTGATTCAACGAAGACAAGCTTGCAAGCAGACCTGCCAGCTAGAGATCGTAGTTGGTCAAAAGTCTAGTGAAAATTTAAATAATAATTTAAATAATCCTGGGCAAACTGAGAACGAGGGAATGTCGCAAGTGCCTAGAAGGCAGGTTGGTCCTGGCCCTGGAGACCCATTACTTGCAAAACAAAAGCATCATCATCGTAGAGCTTTTGAATTTATTAGTAAAGCACTTAAGATTGACGAAGATAATGAAGGTATTCTTAGATATATCTAGATTACCTGTTTCTTATAATTTGCTTCTTTTTGATATTTCATTTTCAATACTACTTTTATTAGGCCAGAAAGAAATGGCAATTGAACTTTATAAGAAGGGAATTGGAGAATTAGAAAAAGGAATAGCTATAGAATGTAATGGTGGTCGAGGAGAAGTATGGGAACATGCACAAAGACTTCATGATAAAATGCGCACTAATTTGGCAATGGCAAAGGATAGACTTGATTTTCTTGGTTTGTAAACAAATATTTTAAATACATGGCACATTTCTTAAGCTGTTCCACTTATATTAACAAAATTATATATCACTTATTTATAAATTTTTTTTATAATTATAACGTATTCTTAAATAAAGTTATGGTACAGCTTAAGAATAATACAATATTTATGTATTTAGCATGCTCATGTGTTAATTGTTCTATATTGTTCACGCGTATGTGTGCATCTGTGTGTATGTGTGTGTCTGCGCGAGAGTATTTATGCGTGAATGTACTCGTGTGTGTATGCATGCGCGCGTTATCCCTTTTTTTAATGGTTTCATTTTTGGCACAATATGTTTTTTTCATAAGCGACGCAAATTTTTATGTACAAATTAGTAGCCAAACTTCATATAGTAGCGTTCCTAACAGCCATCTGAGCATTCATTTCAAATCTAAGTACTAATTATATAGTTTACAATTTGGACAAAAGTTAACGAAATTTATGGGTTCAAACTGTACTTAGCTATTTAGCCTACTGCAGCATGGCAGAGAATGTTTTTCCTTTTTGTAGTGAGTGTGTGTGAGCTGAAAAAACTGGATATCTGCAATGAATATCGTGCTCCTGGAAATAAAATGGACAACGAACATCCAGGAAAGAATCTGAGGGTCCGACGCAATATACACACATTACAAACAACTCGATCTTCTTTAAATACAAATCATACTAAAAACACAAACAGTACACAAACAGTGAACATAGGGCAGAATACATGTACCCAAATTCCCAAGTTAAGGCCACGTTCACCAAAAAACTATTCTGCCCATTCTGAAGGTACTGTTTGTCTGAAGTTTTGGGCTTACAATGCAGATTTTGAATGTAAATTTGATAATTGCTTCTGTAAAACTGTTGTTTCTATTCCATTGTTAACACATGCATCTATTATTAGTTTTTGATGTAATACAACAAGTAATAAATGCAAGCATGTTATATTATTTGCTATGATTAACATAGTTTTGCCACACTTTGTAATGTAATATATTTATCTGAATTTAGAATGAAGTAATTTAAAAAGAAATAGAATTATTTATATGTAGGTATGTATGAGACTACACACACACACACACACACATATATATATATATGATACTATATGCATGTGTATATATACTTTATATGAAACAATGAATTAAGAAGACAAATTAGTTTATATGCATGAATGTATGCTTCATATAAACATTTAAAGTTTTATTTGAAAAACACATTAGAGTAGTCTAAAAAGTATTTGTTACATTTATATTCTAAAAAACATTTTTATGTTTATTTTGTAATCTCATATTTAGTGCTCAAATATCATTTGTTCACTACTATATATGACTTTTTAACAATATAAAATATTTTATATATATGAAATATTAACAATGTAATGTATGCTCTTAATATTTTAATCATATATTACATATGTATTATAAATGTAGTCTAATTATATCACATGCATACTAGTTTGACAAATATATTTAATTCTTTTTATATTGATTGAAATTATTAATAATTACTTCTTTCATTGCAAAGTGTTTGTCTTGTATTTTATTCCTTGTAATAGTACTATAAATAGAGTTAACAGAGATTCATATTTAAAAGTACTAATAGTTTCATTTTTATGTGTTTATTATTTGGGTATTATTTGTTTTATGTTGTTATAGCATCTGGAAGAAAATTATCTGTTCCTGGAAAAAGAGTGGGGACAGTTATAAGCAAAAGTCAAACATTACCACGCAGCATGGGACGCTCAACACCAGTACAATCTTGTCATAGAGTTACACCTATTAAACCATCATCTACGCCACCTTCTGTAAAAAGACAATTATCAGTACCTGGAAATGGTTCACCTGTTAGGAGACCAGGAACACCAACTACATCAAACAGTAATAGAGGAACACCTACAAGAAAAGTACCTCTTTTAAAAGGTGTAGATCCGAAACTTGCACAAGTAATTTTAGATGAGATTTTAGAAGGAGGTGCAGCAGTACATTGGGAGGACATTGCTGGTCAAGAAGTCTGTAGCTATCTTATATCTATAAATTGTTAAATAAGGAAAAATGCATAATATAGTAGATAAACTTACAATTTTATATTTTCTTTTATAAAACAGACTGCAAAGCAAGCATTACAAGAGATAGTCATCTTGCCTTCATTAAGACCAGAATTATTTACTGGCTTACGAACACCGGCAAGAGGTTTATTATTATTTGGTCCACCAGGAAATGGAAAGACATTGCTTGCACGTGCTGTGGCTACCCAGTGCAACGCTACATTTTTTTCAATATCTGCTGCTAGTCTTACATCGAAATATGTTGGAGAAGGAGAAAAGCTAGTACGAGCTCTTTTTGCTATAGCACGAGAATTACAGCCATCTGTGATCTTTGTTGACGAAGTGGATTCGTTGTTAAGTGAACGTAGAGATAATGAACATGAAGCTTCACGGTAGATCTGTTCAAGTTTTGACATTTATGTAAAATGATTAATATTTATCTAATTGACAATTATTACATAGGCGATTGAAGACGGAATTTTTAGTTGAATTTGATGGTTTGCCATGTAATCCAGAAGAAAGGGTATTAGTTATGGCTGCTACAAATAGACCTCAAGAATTGGATGAAGCTGCATTAAGGAGATTCACAAAGCGAGTATATGTTACGTTGCCAGATTTACGAACAAGAATTATGTTACTGAAGCGACTTTTAGCTAAACATAATGATCCTTTAACACCAGAAGAACTAAATGAGATGGCAGTTTTAACTCAGGGCTATTCTGGAAGCGATTTAACGGGTTTAGCAAAGGATGCAGCACTTGGCCCTATTAGAGGTAAGATAAAATATAAAGTTTCTATTACACATTTTCCATTATGCTTACTTAGACTGAATGGATATGAAAGATTTTGACCAGATAGTCTAACAAATAAATTAATCATTATTAAGTATGTATAAACGATATATCGTAAAGTTTGTAAAAAAAGATGTATTAATATTGTACAGAACTTAATCCAGATCAAGTAAAAGAATTGGACCTTAATTCCGTACGCAATATTACAATGCAAGATTTTCGTGATTCGCTTAAAAGAATTCGTAGATCAGTGTCACCTGCAAGTTTAGCAGCTTATGAAAAGTGGAGCTTCGAATATGGTGATGTAAGTCTATGATTTTTAAGAATTAGTTGATGCACAAGGCTGGAAAATAAGTTACACTAAAATATCTGCACATTCTAAAAAAAAAAAGAAAAAAGGAACTTAATGACGGAAAATGCAACAAAAATGATTTTCTGCGATATTAATTATTACAGAGTGTAAATATATCAGCTTTTACATTTTCTAAGCTAATTTATAAATGACATCTATATACAAAAAGAAAATGTTATGATATTGCAAAAGGCACTCTTGCTAAGTACTGTTTTTTAAATCATATTACAGCAGTAACACTGTAATATTACTAGCTTTATATTACATATATAATACATTCTATACTCCATCCAGCAATCAGGTATTATAGATTTAAGTTTAAGTTGGTATTACTTCATACTTATATTACTACACTCTAAAGATGTTGATATTAGAATTCCAATGTTTGTAGTTATACTGTCTATGTAGATTTTGGTAACTTTTTATTTCATATTTTGGTAAATCATGAACATTAATTTATTATTATTTACTTTCTTGTTATATGATTATGCGCTAATAAGTTTAGTATAAATTATTCTAATAATGCAAAGAAGAATGTAATTCTACAATTAGCAATTACAATATGCACTTTATAATAAAAAGAGTAATGTAAATACTTAATTACCATTCAAGCACAATTGATTTGAATAATGTTAGCAGGAAGACTGTATTTGCATATGAAACAGCTCACGTCCAATCAGATAATAAAACAATTACTGTAATTGGGTGTAAAGGATTAACTACTGCTATAATTATGTTATCAAATAAGCATAAAAATGAATGAATATCTTGGTTTTGCACAAGCACGTGCTAAAAGTAAAGTATGCAGATAAAATCGTTTTAGGCACGTGAGTTTTGTAAAAATAACAAATTGCATATTGTATAACATATTGGGGGAAAATATTATTCATGTTATGTTTGGTAACATTTCAGATATTCGTTTGATAATTGTTAAAATGAAATTATATAATTAAGATCTTTTAACAGGGGGTATTATGCTTATCAAAATATATATCAATTCTTGATTTGATGAGATTTCTATGAGACAACGAACTGGAATTATATATTTGAACTTCGTGAAATTAAAAATATTTATTATTTATAGGTAAATATTATCAGTAAAAAATTAATGTTATGATAAAGGTATGCTACAAAAGGAAGTTGGATATATAAAAGTTTTTGATATTCATCTACTGCTTCAAATGCTCAACTAAAAGGTGATTGTGCTTGTACGATATAATCACTGATTTAAAAACACATTTATTGCAAAACCATAATACTAAGCTTCGATACTAGTCTGATATTGTTTCAATTTGAAATTAGTTAATAAGAACCTCCTAATTTTACTCGATGTACATGTATTTGCTTATAAGAGAAGCGTGGAGTAATTATTTCTTCACCTTGTAACTCGTTACAATCCTTGCTTTTCAATAACGATAATGCAACGAGTTCGAACCTTCTCTTGTGTGATCACTAGTTAATACTGACCCATGTAGTATAGTATAATCTATGCGTAACATATTACGTAAAATGATGTTAAAAATTTCTTTTTAATTTTTGTCATGTAATGAAACAAGGATTGCCCGTTTCACTTGTTACAATTTTTAATATCAGTTACGACTGATGCACTGATAGAAAAATGGTAATAGTTGTACAAAGTATAAATTTGCACTTGCGCAAAGTTGCGCACCTCTTTATTATTGAATATACGAACATAATTGAAGTTACAAATAATGTCAAAGTTCAATCTCAGCATTATATCAATGTAGATGTATTAAGTTCAATATATATTGCTGAATGCTGTATGAAATGAATTTTGATTGAAAAATTTATGAACTTGATGTTAAGTCAATGTTAAAACCATTTATGTTGCAAAAGTATAATATGAACTGTATTGAAGTTTTGGTTATATGTAAAGTTTTTCGGCGTTAAATAATTTATGGTAAGCGTAAGTAAAATATTTTTGCCCGAATTTTATCAATGATCTTGCACAACAGACTGTTATCAATATGGGTATATCTCTATTTACAACCCTGGCCTTCCATGTTAAAAACACGCTCAGCCTCAATTAAGTTATTTTGCTACTTTTATAAAAACTTGTAATAGGAAATTTCTTAAGAATATAAGCAAATAATAATGCTAATATTAATTATTGCTGCGTAAATTAAAAGTAATCAAATGTGAATTAATTATAAGAAATGTCTGTGCATGACTACACAAATTATGTTTCCTTAATTGTAAGTTTCAGCCCTCTTTTTCTCGATATTACAAAAGGATAAAAGTTATTTTGGTAACCGCATAAAATTGATTTTAAGATATTTCAAACCACTTTTAATATGCACTAATATGCAATTTTACTAAAATGATAGTGATGTTTGCAAAATAAGTAGTAACTGATTTGATAAAACGTAACATAAAACTTACAAAACTTATTTTTATTTCGTGAATGATGTTTTTCATAGATCTTTTTTCAATTATACTTTGATTAAATGCCAAATCTATATTTCTCAACAATATCATAAATTACGTAAAAAAATATGTAGAACAAGGTAGACAGATTATAATTGTAGATTGCAAACTAAAATTTTCGTTGAGCAACTCCTTCTTTTAATATATTATATCCTAGTTCGCTTGATGAAACAATTAACAAATACATATTTAATTAACATCTATATACTCAGTGACATCATGCAATTAAATAGTAATTTTCGAATGTAACTGAATAGTATAGTGCCACTTATTGTACAAAAATACAAGATATCCTACTTAGTATTTTGCCGCCGTGTGATCGAGATCGAGGAACGCATGTATTGTGTAATAAAGTGTACAGTACAAATTATTCTAGCGCATTTCATTTTAGAAAAGGAATGCTCGCAATTTTCACGTGAAAATTAATTAAATTATTCACAGTATTACCGAATTCAGTTTTAATTAAAGTATTAAAATATTCTAACTTGACATTGCTATAATATTCACCAAAGAAATATTTTTATTTTATAGTAATGGTATAACCAGCGTAATGTTTTCCGTTTAAATCAAACATAACGACGCCCCTTTTATACAGAAGTTGTGTTTCCTTCAATAAATCGCAAACATTGTACTTAACGTTAAATTTTATTGTGTCAAAAAATCAGTCAGAATTATATCTTCTACATAAGTCATCAAGTGTTTTAAGTGCTTGACGAGATAGTTTGCAGAAAAAAATATGCTCGGTTAACGTAAACAATTATTGTAAAAGTATGTCGGCTGTAAAATAAAATTACCTTGTATGTACTTAAAAAACTTATTATATTATTTTTACATTTAACCAGTTATAAACGAAGGTACTACGTTTCTTATAAATTTAAAAAGTCACTTTTGTTATTATTTCATAACTTTATATTTTATAATAACGTGGGCTATGAAATAATACAAAATATTGTGTATTTTAAATATTTATTCCTTTTTTTTCATTCAAAGGACAATTTGTTTTTATTATAAGATAACATTATCCTAAGCATCTTCGAGGGCTTCGCACCCTACTGTACCTAAATTACTTTTTATATAACATTTTTTTTTATGTCTTCCATCGGTTCACTGATTATTATTAATCCATAGACAAGTTTTTTTTCTTAAATTGGCTCTCCATAGTTCGATATCACTTATCGCAGTCAATCATTGCTATATTCGATTTTATGTTTCTTCTGTTATTACATTCAGTACTGACTTTATACAAATTGGTTTTGAAAGGTTTATGGCTTATTATCGTCGGTGGTGAAGCGAAGTATCGATAAATTTTACTCTAACTCACTCTAATTTGTTTATTATTTATTTATTAACTTAATGAAACGTATTTTGGAAAATAAGTTTTCAAGAAATAATCAGAATGAAAATGATAAATTCTTAAAAAACGTAATAAATAAATATTAAACCTAACTTTATTGAAAATTGAAAATATTAAAGTTCTGCAATAATTTTCACCTGTATAGTAATTGGAAGACACGAAGGCATATGTATCGTGCCATGTGATAATTGCAATAATGTCAAAATATCAGATAACATCAAATGTGATTGTCAATTGATATACTAATTATTACAAGAAAAGAACTGAATATTTTACAACATATTTAAAGGAACATAATTTCAACTATTGATATACAAATCAATAAAGGTAGAACAATAGTGACTCCAACTCTTAGTGGAAGTGTTCACCATTATCATTACCATTATACTTAAATTACATTGTAATAATTACATCAAGATTCGCTATTTCTTTGTACAAATGGAGAGGAGTCACTAAGCAATATAACAAAGTATATTCAATTAAGTTAAATTCAGCATAAAATATTTCATTTTTGACACTTCCAGAAGTATTTTCTTAAAATTTGTTATAAGAATGTTTTTTGTACATTTACCACCGACGATAAATATCACAAAACGAGAAAAGTTTACAACTCGTTTATCCACTCGCATAGTTTACTTTAATAAGGGCCCTGCACACGTCAAAGCATGCATCCAAATCTAGCTACATCACAGGCGCCGTGTCTACCTATAATCCCTATCTTATACTATGTTCAATGTCATACTTTGTGTTTACCATAAATGAACATTTATCTCTGTTCATTAATGATTTGAAATAAACTAAAGATTGGTAATTGTGGCAAAAATATTAAAAATATAACAACGCAATGTTCGCATACATACGTACACCTTACGCAGCACAACGAATGCAGGGCTCATCAAGGGGCTGCAATTTTAAATTCAGAAATATACCTCATTCAACAGCATAAAAATCGTCTTGAAAAAATTGTTATATTACACTGATGGATCGACTGCTATGATATTTCCTTTTTCAATGAAAATTGCAAGATATATTTGTATTTGTTACAATGGTATACGTTTCTATTGTTTGGCAAGGAAAACATATAAGAAAGATGTATATTTAAATATCTCAGTGTATATATTCAATATATATATCACTTTGAACTTTTGATAAAGTCTTTTGAAATATAATACCAATCGATATTGATACAACCAAATTTGAGGATTTCTTTTTGTATAATACTTCAATCGAAGTACAACTGGAAAATTTGTACATATGATGCTGCAGTCAAAATACCAATAAACTTGTTGGAATAGGTATATGACAGAACAGATTTTGCAAACGCCCCAAGGGCAAATGTATCATATGTAACAATTAGTTGATGTTGATCAATGATCAGTTTCATTGCGTGGGGTATTGTGGCATGGTATATGTTACCATTGCAGGTTGCTGACCTGGTGGCAATGGTGCAGTTGCAGTCGGCGGTGCGGCGGTCGCTTGTGCTGGTTGCCATGTACCTGCACCAGGAGCAGGCATTCGCATGCTATTCATATATTGAGCCTGTTGTCCATAATATTGACCATAGTACTGAGCAGGCTGTAAAAATTGACCTTGCATTTGTGGATATCCTTGAGGATACCAGTAACTCATTTGCTGGCCATATCCATATGCATATTGTCCAGCCCCAGCTGTAACCTATTAAACAAAAAAGACAATATATATTTTAATATTTATTATTTTTTTAATTTGTTAAAGAAAAGAGATATGGATCATCAAAATAAAAAATATACGCATTAAAATAACCTGTTGAGCTTGGTGATTTGCATTTGGGCCCACACTATTAGGATCTCCATTTTCTTTTCCCCAGAAACATTTAACAATGCTACCATTAATTTCTGTGTTATGTGTTGATTCTATGGCATGTGTTGCAGCTTCCTTAGTAGTAAATTTTATGAATGCATATCCTTTATCCTTAAATACTCTTATATCTTGTATAGTACCAAAGGGAGAAAATGTTTTGGTTATCAGGTCATCTGTAATGCCATTTGTAAAACCTCCACAGTATACTGTGCAATTAGTTGGACTACTTTGGTTATATACCTATTAATGATAATATACACAAATTAGAAAATAAACAAAATTAGTTATGTTGTCAACAAGTGAGCTATATGTAACTTTTATAGATCTTAATTAGAAACAAGGGTAAGGAAATTGATAGGTGACCACTATTGAAATTTGAAACATACCTCTTCATAGTTAGGTTTACTATTATTTGAATGTCGTGGCCTTTCGGATCTTGGTGGTGGCGGTTTTCTAGTCGACCAATTTGTCCTGATGCTTCTAGATCCAAGCCACTGACCATTCATAGCTGCTATCGCTGCCTCAGCTTCAGACTTTTTGACAAATGATACAAAAGCATATCCTTTACTTTTCATAGTTTGTGGATCGCGGACAATTCTACAATTGCTAATTTCGCCAAAAGGCGCGAATGCTTCTTTCAAAGTTTGTGTTTCGATTTCTGGCGACAGGTCGCCGACAAATATGTGATGATGATTACTTGTGTCCAACTTCGGCTGATTTCCAGGGCTCGTTGCCCAGTTAACCTTCATTTCCTTATTCAGGAAGGATCGCTTGTTCATGGCGGCTAGCGCTGTAGCCGCGCATTGATGATTCGTAAATTCGACGAATGCATATGGGTCGTTCCCTGGTTCTCGTATAATCTTGCATCCTTTAACTGCACCTATTTGTGAAAAAAGTGCGCACAATAGTTCCTCCGACACCGAAGTGTCTAGATTTCCCACATAGAGCGTTCGCGGATTGCTTTCTTCGCTCATGCTCGCTCTTTCACGACGCCTGTACTTCCTTATTTAACTAATTTCCTTACTTTCCTTCGGCTTAATTTACGGTTCACACGTTCAGTGCGTGGTACGTGCATTTACCTCGACCCCAGCATCAGAATTCAGATTTTCTCGCCTTTTCCAAAGAACACGGACGGTTGAACGCGAAGCTACACCCAGCCTCTACGTCATACTAACATAAAATGGCCGCTCTCCTGCTTCACTACTTTCCCTTCAATCATCCACATAAACTTTCCGATTCTACCGATTGACTTACTTAAAACTACCCTTGCTTCACGCCTGTTCACTTTCTTTTACCTACCCACCTAAACTTTCTTAAATTTACCCGAATTACTCAAAACTTTGTCAGCTAAAGTGTAAAGAACACGTGTTTTTGTATCATCCGTCGAAGATTTCATAACAGGTAGCGCGAAAACGCTTGTGAATCATTGGCCTACAAAATTCACTAGACAATTACTTTTTTAAGGTTCGCTTCCATTAAATTTTAATTTTTTCTTAATACAATGTTGATATTATTTATCCTTCACAAGGTGACAGTAATTGACTGTAATGATCTTTAATATTAAATCTTTAATATCATTAAAACTTGAATATCATTAAAACTAATCAATTCTAATATCATATGTAATAGTTGAGAACTTATATTTTAGTCATTTCCATGAGAAATATATATCACATTGGAAAATAATTGTTATTAAGTTTCATTTTTTTCTATTAAGATTAAAATATAAAAAAAAGAATAAAATTTAAGAAATAATTAAAATAATATCAAATAAATTATGATAGGTTGTATAATCTATACACTCTATATATTGTAAAGTACAATCATTTATCATATAAATAAGGGTTAGTCTACAGAAACATTTACAATATGTAAGATGATTTTATTGTTCATTTTAAAACGTATCGCGCCAAATGAATATTCTGAAGTCAAAAAATGTAAACGATTATGTTATAAGAAATAATGATGATTCATGCACTTTAAATTATCATTACACAGCAGTTTCATAAATATGAAACATTAGTCTTTGGATAAATAAAAGTATTTAAAAACGATTTCAATTTGATAATTATATTTGCCAGTAAATATATCATGTAGTTTGCATCAACGATAATATATTTAAATTTTATTTAACTATTAAACATATATTCTTAATACCAATAATACAGTAAGAGCAATTCTTGATGAAAATACCTGAAGTAAAATAATTAATGCATTATCAATATAAACTTTCATTGTTACATATGTATTGATCACATTAATATAATAATAATAATAATAATAATAATAATAATAATAATAATAATAATAATAATAATAATAATAGTAAAACATTTCTTCTTTTACTGGCGACAAAATTCTCACTTATTTGTAATGCTTTAATATAAGCTGGTTTTTTATATATATGTCGGAGATCGAAGGACAGCGAGATTTCCCGTCCGGAAAAACCCCGATACCTTAGTCCAGACTTTTACTATAGCTGCATTTAAGTAATAAAAATAAGGAATAGTTTTAATGTTCCAATCTGACTTTATGACGATGGGTTCGGGCTCGAAGTGACATAGCGGGTCACTAGACGTAGCACGGTTCACGGGAGGGAAAGTATCAACGTACTACTCGATCCGGGTAACTCAACCAGTAATTCGTCCAACGACTAACTAACAAACTAACTCTCTTCATCCAAAAGAAACTGCCCTTATATACTCCTGCCCCCGCTTTTCGGGTTAATCTTTGTTTTAAGGAGAGCCATATAATCATTTCATACATCTCCCTCCCGTGACCGTGGCTACGTCCGGTGACCTGCCATGTCACTTCGAGCCGAACCCGTCGTCATAAAGTCAGATTGGAACATTAAAACTATTCCTTATTTTTATTACTTAAGTGCAGCTATAGTAAAAGTCTGGACTAGGGTATCGGGGTTTTTTCCAACATTCCGGACGGGAAATCCCGCTGTCCTTCCATCTCCAACATATATAATAGAATATAATATTTAAACGTACAAAATGGATTCTTTATAAATATTTCATCACTTATAAGTTATCGATAAAAACACATTTTTATTAATTAATCTTTTAATTATACATTTTTATGGTAAATAATTATTTAGTGATATCGCAAAATAAATTTTTTTATTGGCACTAAAAATGCATAAAATTTTTACCTGGTTTTAATAATAACTTTAAGATACTTTAAATCTTTTGGTATTGCACTTAATACTTTTTTTACTCACACGAATGCAATAAATTTTTTCACATTTATAATTGTTTCTTATATGCCAGCTTATATGAGCAAAAAGCATGTTTGTAAAACCAAGTATAGAAACTAAAATTGCATATTAATAAAATTCATTGGTTCATGGCTATTCAGTCTTTATCATACGTTAAAAGTTACGTAAATATTATATCGAATCTTGAAACGTGTCATGTTTTATACGATTTAACAAACTATAAGAATATTCATGTGTTAAAATTTGCTTCTTATTTACATTACAATAAAAATAAGAATATTAGACAACAAATTATTGTTATGTAATATAAGACGAATACTTATTCAATGTATTAATCTGTGATGATTTTGAGTATTAGGATATTAAGCGTCTGTACAATTTATATACATCAAATATGAAAGAATTATTTAATTTGTAATACTTTGCCTTTGATCTGTTACGTTTAAAATTGGGTAACAAGAAGCTTTGTTGCTTTGGCAATATCATAAGCACATGAACGTACTTGCTGAAGGCATCTGTCCATATGTTCTATATCACTAGTACATCTCTGAAGACCAGAACATTCTGCTTGAAGTCTACCTGTATTACCATTTAATTGTCGCAGAGCAGATCTGATGTTTTCCTCAATAGGATTCTACAACATAATTTGAATGTGTTTAATATAAATTTATGTTTACATTTAAAGAAGAAATGCACATCTTACTTGGGGAAATATAGCTGTGAGTTCAGCAACAGCAACACGAATTCTTTCTGCACAAGGTACAAAAGCTTCTCGTTGTTTTGGATCTTGCATGGCCATCCACAGTTCCTGAATTCTTCTTGTAACTTGTTCAGTTCTTCGAGTAACTTCCTCGCTAGGGGGAAGGTTAGGAGCATCGCATTCCCATAAACTTTGTGTGTTATTGCGAGATATTGTCTCTGAATCTCGTTTTGCCTGTATCAATCAAATTTTATGCAATAAGATTAAGAAACATAAATCAAAGAAATTTTCATCAAATTATTACCTGACAAATAGACGTTGACCACGAATTTGGTTTTCGCAAACCTTCTCGTGTTTCATACATAGACGCAGGACGTTGATTGCTCCTATTAAGAGATGTTTTTATATCAAGCACTGGTTCTAGTTCTGGCTCTTGTTCTCCACTAACATGACCATTAACAACTCCATCAGTAGATTCTTTTACCTATATTTTTTGTACATCAGATTTTAATTTGCAATATATTATAAAGATATTAAATATTTATCTTACATGAATCATTTGCTTCAGTTCATTATTTTCATGTGTCAGTTGTTCTACAGTACTCTGCAGAGTACGAATTTGCTCACGGAGATCCTTGATAGTAGATTCGGAGAGAGTTAATTGTTTTTTTAAAACTTCAACGACAGATGGAAGTCCCTTAGCTAATGGTGCAAAAGCTTCCTGTAATAACATTTTAACATACACAATGAAATTTCACTTCTATGCCAAGAAAAAAGTAAAAAAAAAATAGAGAACTTTTAGAAGTTATATGGTTGTTACAAAACAAAACACATAATCAGTATGATCATGTTATAAATTTTAGTGAACTATATAGCATTCTCTGGCAAAGGCTGCACATGCACTAACAGACCTGTGCACTTGCCTAATAGCACTGTCTACAGAAGAGCCATGTACTTAGCCGATTCCTTATTCTTCTTTTCGTTACTAGAGCTGGTACCTTTAATACGTTACCATACAATTTTATCTATTTTTAGCATGTAACTTATTGTCCATCTTTTTTATATCTTATACCATACTTTCCGTATTTATAACTACTTTTTTATCTTTATGTTAAAGTAATTTAATTTAATTAGTTAAAGTTAATTTAATATGTACCTCGTTATCCATTTTAAACTGTGCGGAATATTCAGGCACTGCATTGTCAGATGATGTCAATGCATAATCATCATCAGAAGCAACACTATCATACAATGGTTCATCATCAGACATTTGTGATCCATACTTTCCATGTTGCTCTTTACGAAGTATAGAAATAGCTGGATCTAGAAATACTACACATGTTGATACAATGAATAAATTAAAGAAATTAATTTATACAATTTCTTACAAACCTTGTAATGGTGCATTATTTGCAAGCATATGTCTTCTGCGAGCCTCAATGAGAAAATCTATAATAAGTGTAGCAAACTCCTTTGGTGTAAATCTTGCTAGTTTTTGTCTACCTTGATTTCTTGTTGATGATAGCTGTGGGTTCACTGGTAGGAAAGGCACTGTACATTTTTCTGGTAAGGATGCAGATGCAAACCAAACTATTTCAGGAACATAAAGTAAAAAATAATTAATATTGTCAATTATCAAGTGATTAAAATATAATATGTATTTATAACAATTATTTTATTATTCAAATCATGCATATATTAAAATAAAATTAAAACTTTTAAATTCAACTCACCTCTCCTTTAAAATGATGCAATAAAAAAAGCATGCATATTAATAGCATAATATATGAAAAAACATGAATTAATGTAATATATTTGTTTTGTGTATACTTAATTTCTATAAAATCAGTTATATATATGAATATACATATATTCGTATATTATAAGAAACTACATATAAAACTTCAAAATTATAAATAATGTAGAATTATTTTCAGATACTAATCTATTCATTTCTGGAAATGATTTATATAATACAATTATGTCCTTACTTTCTTCATTTTCTCGACGATCTACTTCATCATAAACATCCATTGCCAATTCTTCCAACAAATGATTCGATAACTAAAAAAAGGAGGTTCATATAATAAATATATTTATACTTTGATAAAGTACACTTACCATTTGTAACTTATTTCTTCCTTCTAAACACAGATCACTTTGTTCCAATAATAATGTACATTCAGGTATAATTATATGCTCATCCAGTCTATGGTTTGGTTTACGTGAACATATAAAGGATGTTAGTCTATCTGTTAATTCATACATGCATTCAATTAGGCGGTCAGATAAGTCCATATGTCCTGCCATTCTAAATAACAAAATATGACAATCATATATAAGTAATGTTTCTTCATATGCAAAATAAGCGTATGCATATATTGGGTTGGCAACTAAGTAATTGCGGATTTTGTCATTAGGTGGTATTGACAAAACCCGTAATCACTTAGTTGCCAACCTAATAGTTACATACTTGGCAA